AAGCTCTTGTAACTTGGTTTTCTGTTTGAATCGTCGGACGTTATGTAAACCCGAATTTGCAGAAGCTCGTTTCTCCGAATCGTCTGCACCCTCTCGATGCTTCGATTTGAGAGGCGAATCTCGGTAACGATGACGAAAGGGATAACGGTTGGAGTTTGTGCCTGTCGGATAAGAAGAGGCTGCGCAGCGGCGAAGTCGAATTTCGATGTTTTGCGAATGAACGAGCGGATCGACCTAGGCGGATCTTTGCAAGACATTTTAATTGGACAAATCCTCCTATCCTCATTAAATCCGACCCGAGTTCGGTGCCGGTATGATCTCCCTGTCTGGCAACGACGTTCTATACTGGTGTATCTCATAGATGACGAAAACAGCCGCGTCTTTCAGCGTCTTCGTGTGGCATTGTCGACTCAAACGTAGTTGAAAGTCTCTGATATCCTCTGATCGAGTTCTGCTTCTCCCATCGCAACAAGTACGATTCTGATCCGATTCCTCTTTAATCATCTTGCTTTGCGTATCATTCTTTAGAAATATCGATTGTTCGTTATGTCTGGTGTTACGAATGCATTTCCTAGTTATGAATATGGTAATATAACATTATAGTTCTGAATAATTTTATTCTATTCAACTACATTGACAGGGTATGATAGTTTGTCTATCTGTGAAATATAACGACTTTTCTTTTTATGGAATAATAATTTAAAGAAGATTGGTCCAGAATGTATCATTTGAATCACGATTTTAGAAACAAAGTGTGATCATTGATACGACAGATGTGTCCTTCGTCATCTTTAGAGGAACGTTGATTATTGTAACGTTTGAGTTAGGGTTGACTTGGTAACAACACGTGGGTCTTATCTTAGGGTGAGATTCCAACTTGACAGACTGCGACTGTGCTCTGAGACTTGTAGACAGTATCACGCGTATTTCCACTATTCTGTGCATAGATATATCGCGCCTATTTATGGTTTCAATGCTTTACTCGATTTTGGGTGAAAACTGCATATCATAATTTGTGTAGAAAATATTGCATGCAATTGTCAAACTGGTATACATTATAGAAATGACAGGTCTTTTATTTAATAATATATGAGTAGAAATGGTCAAAGGTAGGGAAAGAAATCTGACATTAATGCATTATTCAGTTAATATCTTTTTATTAATCGTTCCTTTAAATTGTGGATAACAAATAGGAAAAAATACAACTAAGGGGCGAGTGTAAATATATTAAAAACGTACAAGAAGGATAATGACGATATCGCAAGTCGTGACGTATAGTTTTTATTCGACAGTATTCTCATATGTACACTTATTAAGGTCCATAATAATTATATTAATAATTACGCGATAATTACAACAAAAGTGCGACCATGGCGAGTATGTTCGCAAATTCAACGATATTAAAGAATAACAGGTTGCGATTAACGATGAATGTTTTTTTTTTTTTCTTTTCATTAATTATTTCTTCTCCTCTGTTCCTTCCTTCCGTTTTACGGTACATATAATTGCCATTTGACATCTTGGCTGTTTCCTACGTTACGTTACATGAAGGGTAAAAGCTAGTCTGCGTGATACGGATGCGGCTGCGGCGACTCGCCTTCGAACAGAGCCATCTTCAAACGCTTGCACTTGGCCCGGCGATTCTTAAACCAGAATTGGACATTTTTCGGTTCCAACCGCGGAAACTTCTGCCGGTACGGCATTCGGTTCAGCTCCTCCGTGTATTTCAAAATCAACTGCAAACCAAGCAAACAAGAACCTCTCAAAATAATTGATCAAATAAAAAGAAGCAGTGAAACAATAATTATGTTCTATTCTAAAATACTATCATTTAGTTGAGGCGTGTAATGAATTTACTATTATTATCTCGAAGTTCGAATATCTAACATTCACCATGAATACTAATTTTTATATAAAAATAATTGATTTGATAAATCTTTTGGTTGCGGAAGAATTTAGGAACGTTTAGAACAGTTAGGAACGTTAACACGTAGGATGGCAAATTCGCGTGTCGATAATTAAGCGGTGCCGTTTCAACTTACTGCGTGGCTGGGGTGAGTATTATTGGTGAACCAAGCCTCGAGTCGCGGTACTTCCGTTACGGGATCGATGAACGTCCGGTTCCTTTTCCTTCTCTCGTCCAGCATGCTGGTCGAACAACCGGCTGGTCCGCGTGGCGGCAGATAAGGTGACATGTACATTATCCCGTGGCCGAACATCGGACTGGGGACCAAAGAAAATCCGGGAGGCAGCGGACCAGTGGGTCTCGTCTCGTCGTCCTCCGAACCGGAGGACACCCTTGCGTCCTCTTGTTTTACTGAGGTCGGCGTCGACGGCGGAGGCTGTTGATCCTCGGGTCTGGTTGTCAATGACAGTGGTCCGACCGGCGGACTTCCCGGTGGACAAGGAGAAGGTGATGTCGACTGTAATTTGATACGTAATATTTGAATGGAATATCTCCAAATAACTATGATTCTTTATCGCAATGAATTTGGAATATTTCGTTCGATCAATTCTTCATAAAAATCAGGTCAAATCAGGTGAGGTTGAGAAAATATTTAACCCTTGAAGACGACAACAATCGTTTAATGAAACGTACGAGCACGTTGACTTATTTTTATGAATATTTGTTTAACGATTGAATTTCGTATCACGATTCAGTAGACACTTGAATTACACATTTAATGCGTACATAAATTCCGAGAATAATCAGTCTTTGTCAAATCTTGATCCGAACAGCAAACACCTAATTTTTCCCTGTTTCTACGAATTTCGAAAAATTGTCTAAAACGATTAAATAAATAAATCGGTCCCGTTATCTGTTATCTGCGTTACGAAACCGAATTCGAGTTTCTAACTATGTTCACGCGTGCGCGTGCACACACCTGATTCCTGGAATCCTCCTCCTCGTCTGTGCAATCTTCACTGACAATACTGGCGCCCCTCGGACTGAGCCCAGGAGGGCTGTGACCATTGACGCCCCTGTTATCAGCCCTCTTCTGAGCGGCTCTTGCGTTCTTGAACCAGTAGACGACGTTATTTACGTCCAAGGGCTTCCTGCCGCGGCGAGACTCTAGGGCATTCAATTCCGAGACGTAGTGTTGGATCTGTTGACGCGACGGGTGTTGATTCTCACCGAACCATCGCTGTAGCCGCGGCAGCTCCAGCTCCGGATCGAAACTCGTTCTCATCCGCGTTTTATGCGAGTATTGGAGGAGCGCCGGATGCGGAGGACCGATCGCACCACCGGTCGGACCGATGGTGCCGGCACCGTCTGGCTGCGGGCTCTGTGCATGATGCTGGTGATGGTTCGTGCTTGGTACCATCGGGTTCAGGCCTATGCCCAACTGTTGCTGTTGCAACCACGATTCGAAGTTTCGTTTCGTCTCTTCCGACATATCATTCCCACCTCTACATAGGGATAACAGTGTCATCTGTAAACCAAGTAACACGTTCTGCTTGAGTAAAAGATGATAACTTCCTCTTTTCCTCCCCGAGTTTGACTCATCAGTTAATCTACACATATCTTAGTAAAATATCTTACAGTTAGTAGAAATTTCTGTAATATCTTTAAACAGATCGTATGCCGTTGTCAAGCTCAATGTACAATTTCAAATAATATATATAATAATTTAAAATAATTTCATTAAGCACTGACATAAAAAATCTGAGCAATGACGTATATGAAGATCGCCTGGTAAATGAATTCTATGAATGCTGACATCGAATGGCGACACTGTTAAAGGTATCAATGTATCGTCGTCGACGTAACCACCGCCTGTATGGCATTAAGGGGCCAGATTATGGAAAAGTTTCGACTCGCAGGAAGTAGTACGAGGTTTGTGAAACGTGCGCGTTATCTGGACAAATGATTTATAAGAACAAATATCTCCGCCCGCGAGGATCAAGCTGCTCGACGCCACTTTAATAACGCGGTAATCCATCCGTGGTATCCACGGCACCTTGGTAGCGCCAGATACGACGCAGAACAGAAAATTATTTATCCGCGTGCCCTGTCACGCCGTTCAGAATCCCCGGATCCTGGCGAATTTTACAAGCACTTAATCACTCAGGTAGTCAGCGAACAGCCGTCGGTTGACAGGGCCACGCGGAGATTTCAGAAATCGGTTGACAAACACGTGTGAACGGCCCGTGGAAAAAAGCGAGGAAGGAGACGGCGCGGTCGGCTTATCTGACGACATCTCGTCGCGGTAATTCGAGCTCTGATTTACGTCCATTTAATTATTTTCGGATGACGCAGCAGCGTCAGTTGATCATCCGCGGGTTGGCAGTAAATCAATCGTCGCCTACCGGAGCTGATCAAATATTCGCGAACTCGCTGTAGACACGACACCGTCGACGGTTATTGGAACATATACACCTTTCCGTAATACAGAAGGCTAACAATTGGATTTGAACAAAGCAGGAAACCTAAACCGCGGAAAAATAGTCGAGCGTTCAGACGTTTTCGACTCGTTGATCTTATGTACAACACGCTATTTCTGACGCGTATTCAAATTACAGTTTTATATGGATAACGTCAATGTAAATCATCCGCGTGATAATTGATATGATTCTTTGCTCGGTGATAAGCACTTACGCTTTTAGTTACGTTGTTGCGTATTATACAGACGGATTATGGTATCAGGAGCATAGTGTGTCAATTGTTAACTATTAGTAACAGCACGGGATTAAATACACAGACGTTTACGCAATGTTTAGATCCTCAACCACTAATACATAATGAAATAAAAAGATGTCTATAACTTTCATTCCTTTTTCATGGATTAGAGATTGAAACTATAGATTCGAACGATTGATTGAAGTTCGTGATTTCTATCTGAACGTTACGTATGGGCAAGATAGTAACAGCGAACGATAGGGGAGGCAATTCTAAGCATGACAGTTAATCATGCAAATTTCGGGACTTCATAAATCGGATCCGTGGCCGGAACGCGAACGCGTCGAGTCTTGGCCGAATGATCGGCAGATTAAGTCGCATGAACGCGGTTCTCCATCACAGCCGTTCGCCATTAGCCGTCGGGCCGAAACTCGAGCAGGAAACGTCTGTCAGGGAAAATTGGTAATCATAGACCACCGCGAGCGGCATTAAAGTTCGGGGATGGGCGAGTACAGCAGGATCTTCAAAGAGAGTGCACTTAGATAATGCCCGCCCCCTCTCTCCTCCCGCCGTCCTTCTTCTTCCGATATCGAGGGGGCTTTTGATGAAGGCTGCGAATTTGGTTGAGTAAAGGGTAATCCTATCACATGCTATGAGATCTTCTCTGGCGTCGAAAGGGCATGGCGCCCCCCTACTAGAGAAATCGTACATGATACTTCAAACTTCGAGGAAACTCGAATTGTTGCTATCGTACAATTTTTTAATTTATTATTATACATAAGATCTCAAGATAATCCATTGTACAATTATTAAAAAACGAATAATCTGGGACAATTTTCTTTTTAACTATGAAAGTTTAGAAAAATTAGAATGCATTTATTAGCAACACATAATTAACTAGAAGTGTCATGTATATTAATAGGGACGAGTCTGTAAATGTACCGAGTCGAAACAGGGAAAACATTTATTTAAGACGAAGATCAACGGATCGCAACCAAGGAATCTGGCAAAGATTACCACCGGTTCTTAAAGGTGGAACAAGGGTACCAGACGAGAGGACTTCTTAATGAGATTAGGTGGTCCGACGACAAACACTTTCTGGTTACATTTACATTTTATACATTTTTAAGCGGTCTTACACCGAGCCTCCTCTCGGCAGCTTGATCCCGATTCGTTCTTAAAGTCTTATTGCGGCTACTTAATCTTGACGCTCGACAATTCTCGTTCATTATCAAATTATTGATAGAATTACATTAATATTTGTCAAAATAAAATTTTAATTTACAATTAAAACATTATCCATGTGGAATATGCAAGTTCATTTAGGAACATAAGAAAAGGTGATGAATAATTAGACTTACCTCATCCAAGGGACAGCCAGCTGAGACGAGAAGTGCATGACTATGAAGTAACAGCAGTCTTAACAATTTATTTCTAACTTCGGCAGCTGGACTAGGAGGCGGTGGCCTGGATCTGTATACTTGAATCTTTAAAGTGGCGACTGATGTCAGCTCGGCTAAAATGTCGCCCACTGTTAACAGAGGACCGTCCGCTACTTTTTCCATCGGCAGGGGTTTCCAGTTCCTTATGACAATGCTTCCCCTTGCGCTTGGAATTAGGTCGCTCGAATAACCAAGACGTACTAATGCCTCGCCTACTAAATCCTGTAAAACGAATGGCAATGTTCTTTCAAATTTTTGATGATGAAAAATTTCGTAAAAACATAAGAACTTTAAAAGAATTAACTAATTTTGATTGAAACATTTAAAATTCTGCATTTCATATTAAATTGATTCGTTATAGAAATATGTTTGATCTCGATATACACAATGCTTACTTGAAAAGGCATGGCCACGGGGATAATAACATAGGAGTCTGTTTCTACTTGGGGCCTTCGCCAGTTCTCTCGTGAGTTGCTTACATGAGTCTCTACGATGTTGTGAATCGTTTCAACTACACAGTGTACCGGAAGATTTTTTCCTGAAATCAAAATTGTACATTTCATGCATTTTGTTTCTTCCTATATTCTTGAAGTAATCATTTTCGTACTTCATACAATTATAATCTCAAGATATGTATAAGTGCAAAGAAACGATGAACAATCGAAAATTATAATATCAAGCTCGCAGGTTGTTGATAAATTTTCACGATTCAATAAGCAGACGTTGAACGTCTCATCGCGTCAGAAGCGTCTCGACAGAGAAGTTTTCGATCGTTAGACGAGAGAACGAGGCTACTTGAACAATCAAGCTAGTTCCGGCTTTAATCGTCCGACTGACAATAGGCGCGCGGTTTCGTATATCAGGATTTGAATTCGAGGGTCCAGATGATTCGTGAACCTGAAGATCGCTCAGAGAAGTCTAACTCCGGCGCTAAGCATATGCAGATCCACTCGTCTATCCCGAGACAATAAGAGCTGGGCGATGGCACAATAGCTGCGATCCTTGTGTAACCCTGACTTAAGTCCCGGAGTCTATCCCACTTCAGGTCATAATCCCAGACTTCTACGAAACCGAGGAAATGGAGAACGAGAGGAGGAAGTGAATGAAAGAACGAGAAGGAGGGAAACTTGGATTCACCCATTCTCGACGAGGAGCAAACGCAATACATACGCACTCAAACGAAAACCTCGTGAATCATTATTATACAATATAGTGCAATTGATTATGTTAACTATAATTAAAATTTTTACATAATTAGTTATTTCTAACCACCGTATGTCTGACATTAATGTTATATCCTAAGTTAAACAATTTACTAGCTAAATATACTATTTTAAATGAAAACAGTGTCTTAACTGTTTCTAGTATATAAGTCAGTTTTGTCTTAATGGTTGATTAACTTCGCACGTTAAATGGTAAACTGATGGAGTAAACGTTATCGACGCTGGACGTGATGTAAGGTGCTAAGTCTCTGCGGCAAGATGACCAACAAAAGGATTTACTGCCGGTGGCACGATATTAGGTATTAATGCCCTAAACTTCCATCTAATACGCTAGGTTGGCATAGGGTCCCTACCCCGGCACAGGTTGCATAAGACAGGTCCTGCCTAGGAGGACTGGAGGCTGACCAGTGGCCACCTTAATCCAGGGACGTATAGTTTTCATTAAGGTGCCCTGTCCTAGCGTCGTCGTCTGTACGGGGATCAGCTGGTTTAAGGTAGGCTTCTACCCCGCAGATTTGACCACGGAGCACCGTATTATGCGGTCTGTTTATTAGCGACCTCCCTTGATGCGCACAGATCCGCTATGTAATCTACCTCTGCTGCCTTAATATTTGTTTCACCAATTGTGAATATCTCCAGACACTTCCGTCTTATTTCTCCACATCTTTTCGTTTCAAACTATAAACGTATTTATATATGATAAATCGACTGCTAAATTTATTTTTCATCACTGCGTGAAGAAATAATAATGCTATAAACAAAGGAACCGATGGATAAGGAACACCCTTGAAGTTTCATTAATGTCTTGCGTATTTCTCTCATACGCTGGGGAAAAAATAATAAATAGAAGAAAGAAGTGTCAACCACTCATCCGTAAAATCTTTAATCTCTGCAACGGCAAAGACATTTCTCATTTCTGGTGCAGGCCCTATCGGGCTTCCGGTTATCTCCCCGTTTACGCCGTGAAGGAAGTACGACGGAAGTGTCAGGACGGTTCGTCTGTGACAGTCCTCGCCGCGAGATAAGATTCATCCCAAAAACAACCCTTGAAGAAGCCAACCAACTTTTCTCTTGATAGATTTCTTTCATTGGCGGTTCAGCTGATAACTTTCCATTCCCATCAAATATAGTTGATTTACATTGTACATTACATACACTGTAACTCACTTTAATAAGTAGTTTCATTCTTCCCAAAACGATAGAGGGATAGTTCAATTCCATTCGTAGAATTATTATGTTCGCAAAATATCGTCTTATTGTAATAAAATGTGCAACGTGGAAAACGTGTGGAAATCGTTTGCAATGGCTCATGCTGTTAGGTAACGTTTTAACGAAGTTCCAGTCGATAAATTAACGGACTCCCTGCACTCATTGCCAAGTCGGCGGTGCTGATACAAGATAAAAAGTTGGAACATATTTTTCGACACCCCTTGATCACCCCCATTCCACGCTACTGTGATAATGGGTTCTTTAGGTGCGCATTGAGTTGCCAAGGGAATGAGACCAAAAATCTTTACCGAATATTACTTTTTATATCTTCGACTCCCCTCCTGTGTTTTCTTAGGGGACGTTTAAATCGGCAAATATGATTTTAGATCATTGTCATGAGAGTGCAAGAAAAATTTTTATATTCGAATAATACGAATAACTTGAATAATAAAATTTGACATCCTTTTCTAAATATATTATTTATTGTTACGATAAATTCTTACACGAGTTATTTGTGATGTGATTGCAATTTTAAAAGATCTTTTTATGTTTATGTTTATGAAATTCAAAGTTCAATGGGGTACAAATAAATATTCATTATTCGTACTTATTTCTTAATTTTAAATAGCATTTTACTTGAAAAAGTGTCTTACAATAATGTAGACGTTCTTTCTCTTGGAAACAAAAAATCGCGCGGCATCTAATGTTGTATGTCCGGAAGAGCAACGCTATGCAGATGAGCGGTAGCACGACCAAGACTTCGATCCTAAGGTTTCCCCTTCGTCTTGGTGACTCGGTAATCCAAGAAGATTTTGCCTAATCTCACAAAATCGAATCAACTTCTGTTCCGAAGCCTCGACTAAAGAATAAGGAGGTAACAAAGAATTTTTGTCTAATAAAATAATTCATGCGCGTTTAATCATAAGTTCATAAATTCAAACACGACGACAGTTTTGCTATTTTCATATAAAGCAAGAATCGATTTCACGATATTCTCTGGTAATTTGATATTAATAGATTTCACTTTGTATGCCGCACAAAATTGTAATCCTATTTATATTGAAGGAGTTCATCAAAATATTTAAAGCATATTCATTCATTATTTAAACATCCATATACATTTATTGCATTATCGTATAAGTATTTGTCCACGAGTTCTACTATAAAATTAAGTTTTGATCGATGAGATTGTCGCGTAAAAGGAAGCGTTTCCGCACGTGGCGGTATTCGCGATCACTGGAAGCCCAGCTTCCGTTCCTGGAAACTTAGCCTAAGCGCGCACGACAGAAGGAAAGTGTGGGTGGTTTCGGTATCTGAAGCTGATCCGGCGGATGCCGGCCTTTACAGATAAGCGACCAACTCTTTCGAACACTTTATCTGTTACACCCGTCCTCTCCTTCCCTTCCACCCCCTTCCAGCATTTGAATTCGATATCCCGCGTCGTGTTTTCAGCATCCTGTATCCAAAACCATCCGACACGATTTAGTTCAGATATTAAATCTCCTATAGAACGTTTAATCATTTCTCACATTAACTACCGAATTTTATTCCGTACACATAAATGCATTTTTCGGTTTATAAAAAAATCAAGCTATTTAATAATGTTTCTGTGTCTGTTGCGAAGCCTTGATGATTAGCGATCGCTATAGAGCGGACGTTTATCCGAAGGATTTGTACAGTCAGCGGTAGAAAAAGTTTCGCCAGCCATGTTATTGTGCACGATTTGCGTGCAAGCACAGCCCGTGCCGGCGGTCTCGCGTGCGATTTAAGCTCTCCAGCGCCGCTAAGCTCGTGTTGGGGCACAAGCACCAGATAAGATGTAATGAGATAACCTCGCAGCTAGTGTAGCTTATAAGATCACCAGCCACGCGACGAAACCTTCTAAATCTACCTAAGAGTTAGCCGATTCTTAGAGACAGGAGATCGCATACCTATCCTAATAAACAACATATCTCAATAATATGGGCTAAATATAAGACAATGAAATGTGTAAAAATCATTCTTTTTTACATGTACCTTGCATAATTGGTTAAAGAAGATTAAAAAGAAATTTATAACTTTTTATAAACATAAAGTCGGTGAGATCCTCTAAAAATCCTTTGTACCATAAGAAGGCTAAAGCATATATAATTAATTTTGTTTGTAATGGTATAATACGATGTTTCCTTAATTCTTTATTTAAATTCATTAGAACTCGTGCAAATACAAATCCTTTTGTGTTTCGCCGTACACGCTTAACCTCGATCCGAAACTCAGGAACAAACGCGCACTGTCTGATAGTCGGCGATCATTCTCTCTACCTATGCGTTGCCGTTGAATGAAAGCAAGGGTGAAAACTTGCCCTAAGACGCTTAGAGAGTAAGCTCTTATACAAGACGGAGAATAAGAGAAGGGCGCCGCTGGCTCATACACCGTTTCCCTGTATCCATCTGTACCCACACACCTACGCACGCGGATACGCATATTCAGGCGTCAGCAAAGAGTTTGTTTTCCAACATCTGCACAGCTTCGTACGATTTGGCGACGATGCGCGCCGCGGTAACCGAACGGTTTGTGTGCACGCGCTATGCCCAAAAGATTAAAATTACTTTGGTAAACTGCGACGAGCGAAGGAAAAGGACGGGACGAGAGTTCGTAAGACAGCGGAAGGAGGGACGTGGGTGGGAGGCGCGGGATCCGTCCCGAAGAGGGAGAACGTCTCGTAAATTTCTCTACTAAGGAGCTTAATTTGGATTTTCGGTAACGAGTTATTGTAAGCGGCAACTCGTTGGGGGATGATTTAAGTGGCACCAAGGACAGGTTCCGGTCGTCTATTATCGGTAGAGAAGTACGCCGCGGCGCGCGGGTGGACCGATTATTTCGTTGGATTCTGACGAGCGATATCAAGGAACTTCCTTATCGGTGTAACCAGCCTGTCACTTTCGAAAGTCTTCAAGGAAGACAGCCACAAGCTCGAGGTATTCGCCGATATTTGCTTAATTCTTGCCCGAGATATCAGGGTGAAAGCTGGCGAATGGATTTTTCCTTCGTTGTGTAACAGTGTTCAATAGCTCCTCGGGAATTGTATTTTAAACGATTTATTTAAATTCATTAGAACTCGTGCAAA